CTACTACTACCACTACTACTACTACTACTACTCCTATGACTCCTGCTACTACTACTGCTACTACTACTACTACTACTACTACTACTACTACTACTACTACTACTACTACTACTACTACTACTACTACTACTACTACTACTACTACTACTTACTACGTACTACTTACTACTTACTACTACTACTACTACTACTACTACTACTACTACTACTACTACTACTACTACTACTACTACTACTACTACTACTACTACTACTACTACTACTACTACTACTACTACTACTACTACTACTACTACTACTACTACTACTACTACTACTACTACTACTACTACTACTACTACTACTACTACTACTACTACACAACTACCACTACTACCACTACTACCACTACTACTAGTGAACATCATCGGTCCTCCCCTCCTTTCCCCCCTCCCAGTGAGGACCGTCTTTCTGCCTCGCCAGTGAGGACCGTCAGTAGGCCTCACATCCCACGCAACTTCCATCATAGGGGTTGCGTGGGTCCCCACTCCCATTATTTACATGAGGGCGTCAATCGCCACCGGAGGGGGCCGAGGACTCCTCTAGGGACCCTCAGCCAACGAAGACGTCCCTAGAGAAGGGTCCAACGTATCTCCACACCTTTACAACTTCCCGTGATGGCGTCAACTGCCACCCCCGCTGTTTTCCTTCCCCCCACGCGACCTTTTCCCTAATCAGTTTCACAGCCTAGTCCCCAGAGGCGCGCCCATGGCAAATCTTGTATTGATGCCATGGCGCCACGACTGTGAGTCCGGCAAGGGCGCCAAGGGATTCCGGCAAGGGCGCCAAGGGACGCGAGAGGAGGAGGAAGAGGAGGAGGAGGAGAAGGATGAGGGACGGGGGCACCCCTCGACCTCGGTCTCCGAGAACATCCGCAGGCCGAAGTTCAGGAGCCCCGCGCAGGTGGTCGTGTAGAAGAGCGCCAGGGCCATGAAGCCAGTCGATATCGTACCGGCAGCGCGCCCCTGGCGCGGAGCCCTCCTCCCCATGGCTCCTGACGTAGTATTATTCGACGAGCGCGTTCCATTACTCGCAAAGTAACTACTCGCAAATGGCCTGGATCCCCCGCCGGGGATCTACGATAAACTGCATCAAAGCAGACAGGTGTTTTTCGGACGTTTGCGAGCAGGCACTTTGCGAGTAGTGGAACGAGCTCGGCGAATTATACGGCCCCTGATGGCACCGAGACGGCACATGGCCCCAACACGATCCAGGATGGCCCACACACTGGAGGATGGACCAGTAGGCTTGTCTGCAGCCCAGCATGGCATCTCCCAGAAGCACGGCGGCGATAGGCGGACGCTTGTGTGCAATTAGAGTGAAGCCGTGCGCGCAATTAGGATAAGCAAGGCCGCAGCCAGTCTAACAAGTTTGCCCAAATGATAGCATGTCGGGTGAGGTCAATAGACATGCGTCAACTCTCTGGTCGTCGTCGTCGACGTAGTCGTCGTCGACGTCGTCGTCGTCATCGCCGACGTCGTTCTGCACGCACCCGATCTAAACCTTTCACGATGGAAATCTGGCCGCTCAGAATCCTCTGCAAAAAATGCGGTGCACATATGCTGATCTGAACATCGCCCTCTCATGCATTCACGATCCGATGCAAATATTATGTTTTCTTCCCGCACAGCCCCGAGCTAAACCTTTCACGATGGAAATGTGTGCCATTCACGATCCTCCACAAATAGCACAATGCGGTGCACATGTGCTGATCTGAACATCGCCCTCTCAAGCCATCAACTTTCACGACCCTATGGAAAAAATACGTTTTCTGCACACCCCCGATCTCAACCTGTCACGATGGAAATCTGTACCGCTCACGATCCTCTGGCCCAACACACAGGAGGTTCCCCCCTCCCGAACCCTCTCCAGCACAAAGAGGGGGGGTACGAAATTCTCCTCCCCCTCTCAGAGGGGTAGGAGGATTTCGGACCGCCCCCCCCTGCGCCAGAGGGGCCCTCTGGCGCAAGGGGGGGGTCCGAAACCCCCACCCCCCCCTTTCAAAGCGAGGGTGGGGGTGTCCGAAAGTTCCCCCCTTTTTTGAAAGGAGGGGAGGGGAGGGGAGGGGATCATCCGCATCATCGTCGCGAGCATCGTCGTTACCGTCGTCATCGTCATCGTCATCGTTATCGCCACCATCCGTCTCCACCCTCCTCAGTATCTTCCACCCTCCACCGTCCGCCTCCCCCCCCTTCTCGTCCTCGTCCTCCTCCTATCCCCCACTCTCCGACACCTCCCCGCGAGATCTGCGGTGTTCTATTGCAACCACGTTCTTAACTGCTGGCCCCAGGGGGAGCAAGTGGGAGGGAGGAGGAGGAGAAGGAACAGGGGGATGACGGGGAGGAGGAGGAGGAGGAGGAGGAGGAGGAGGAGGAGGAGGAGGAGGAGGAGGAGGAGGAGGAGGGAGGAGGAGGAGGAGGAGGAGGAGGAGGGGGAGGGGGAGGAGAAGGGGGAGGAGGCACGTAGAAAAAGGAGGAGAGGAGAAGGAAGAGGAGGAGTGAGGAGGGGGGAGGGAGAGGGGAAGGGAGGCAGGGAGGCAGGAATACAAGGAGAACGAGGAGGACAAAATGCTCGCTGCCAGGCTCGAGGTTCCGCGTACGCTCAGGCCGAAGAGCCGGCTGGGACTCTTACGGGAAACGGCGGCCGCCCCGCTTCGCGGCGCTCCAGGAGGCAGAGGAGGAGGAGGAGGAGGAGAAAGGGGGATGACGAAGAGGGAATGAGAAAGAAAGGATGAGGGAAGAAGAAGAACCAGAAGAAGAGGCAGAAAAAGAGGGGAGGGAGGTGGAAGGAATGGAGGGTGGAGAGAACGTGTGGGAGGATAAAAGGGAGGAGGAAGAGGGCGGATAGAAGATGGACAGAAAAAAACAGTAGGAGAAGGAGGAGGAGGAGGTTCAAGTGAAGGCGGCCCCAAGCAGCAGCAGCAAGAAGGGAGCACAGAAAGCCTCTGCGGTGTGATACAAATGCGCGCCCGGACCTCCGCCACGATCTGCCTAAAGCGCCCCAGGGGATGGGGGGTCCCCGCACCATGTGCTCCACCAGCGGGGCGATTCGCTTCCGTGTCTGGTTCACCAGCGTCGGAAGAGAAACGGCAACGGCAGGAGCAGCAGGAGCAGCAAAGGCTTGAAGCTGGCAGCCTTGCGAATATTCGCGAGGAAGAAAGCACGCTACGTCAACGCCGTCGGCCCAGCTGACCAACAAGTCTGGAAGATCGTTCGGCGACTAGACCGATACGCTGGAAAGGTTGCCGCCTCAAAATCCCGTCAGCCCATACCGAGTCACGCTTGCAAAAGATGTTTTCAAGGGCTGGCTCCCAACTTCCAGCCGAAAAAGTTATGGGTACCCCTGTCGACCAGCACGGGGTTCGGCAAACTGGTGAAACGGTGACGAACGATTCCTGAGCACTCTCAGCCAGACGCGGTCGGGTTCACGAAACCAGTGATACACCAGCTTCAGCCTGCTCGGGCTATTGTCTCCTCCATGCAGGCACCCAGGACTCAAAGGTGTACTTCTCGCTTGCACGTGCAACCAGGATCTCACAGCGATGCATGCTTCGAGCCAACGTATCCAGCTGAAGCTTTTTGATCCGCGGGTCGAGAGCGCACCTCTTCCGGTCGAAGCTAAGCGGGCCGCGCGAAGCTTGAATTAGGCAGAGGGAGGGGAGGAGAAAGCGGCGGGGCCTCAGGATCCAGCTGAAGCTTGGAATTCGCGGAGAAAACGCAGGACCACATTCGCACGTGGCCATCCCCCGACGCAAGTTCAGATGTCCCAGGCGCCCGCCGCCCGCAGGAGCGCGAGTGTGACGGCGACGCCACGCAGTTCAAGCGTCTCCTTTGAGACCCCTGGCCTGTCCATGGGAAAGGATCGGAGCTTGAAATACACTTCAGTCCCAATCATGAGAAACTCTATGATCGAGGTCCATCTGGAGCAGACTGTCACGAAGCACGGTCGAGGCCAACGAAATGCCTTCTTCTCCAACTCCTCCTCCTCCTCCTTCTCCTCCTCCTCCTCCTCCTCCTTCTCCTTCCTCCTCCTCCTTCTCCTGCTCCTGCTTCTCCTCCTTCTCCTCCTCCTCCTCCTCCTCTCCTCCTCCTCCTCCTCCGACTCCTCCTACTCCCAGCCCACTCTCCTCTCCCTCCGACCCCCCTGCCCCCTTCAGCCTCATCTTCCTCCTGTTGCCTCGAAGAGGAACGGAAGGAAGATGCTGGCTGCGTAGGCTGTTGGGCCCGGACCTGGATCCCGAAGCAGCCGACTGAGAGGAAGAGCATCAGCGAGATGCCCTCGAGCCGCAGCTGCAACCATCTGTTGCAATTGTGGATAGTGAAGAAGGCGCGGTTGGACGTGTCTATCCTGCAGGAGCACGCCAGCTATCTGTCTCGCGATGCAACAACCAAAAACACCTGCAAACAGTGGCGCGGGCAACATGCACCCGGCAAGCACGGAGTCACGCGAGGGCATGCCTGCGAGCTGTGAACCATGACGCGAAACCTTGGCCTGTGCAGAATGTGCCAATCGTACACCAACACCAGCCTTGGCAGGGACAATCCTCGGCCAACGGCAAACTACTGGTGTGTGTATCCAAATGTATGTATATATATATAACATATATATAGATACATATATAAATAAATAAATACAATACATAAATAAATGAATTAAAAAATAAATAAAGAAAAAAAACAACTGCATGTATACATTATTTGTGCATCATCATGATCATAATCATCATCATCATCATCATCATCATCATCATCATCATCATCATCATCATCATCATCATCATCATCATCATCAGTATCAGCATCATCATCATCATCATCATCAGCATCTGCATCATCATCATCATCATCATCAGCAGCAGCAGCATCATCATCATCATCATCAGCAGCAGCAACATCATCATTATCATCATCATTATCAGCATCATCCGCATCATCATCAACAGCATAATCATCATCATCATCATCATCATAATCAGCATCATCATCATCATCAACAGCATCATCATCATAATCAGCATCATCATCATCAGCAGCAGCATCATCATCATCAGCATCAGCATCATCATCAGCATCATCATCATCAGCATCATCATCATCACCATCATCAGCATCAACATCATCATCATCATCATCATCATCATCAGCATCGTCATCATCATCATCATTAGCAGCATCAGCATCAGCATCAGCATCAGCATCATCAGCATCATCATCACCATCACCATCACCGTCATCATCGTGATCATCATCATCATCGGCATCATCATCAGCAGCATCCTCGTCATCATCATGATCAGCATCAGCATCATCAGCATCAGCATCAGCATCATCATCAGCAGCATCATCATCAACAGCATCATCATCATCATCATCGTCATCATCATCATCATCATTATCATCCTCTTCCGCCTCCTCCTCCTCCTCCACCTCCGCCTCCGCCTCCCCCGCCTCCTCCTCCTCCTCCTCCTCTGCCTCCTCGTCATCGGAATGATGATGATTATGATGCTGATGTTAATGGTCATGATGATCATGATGAGGATGATGATGATGCTGATGATGATGCTGATGCTGATGCTGATACTGATGATGATGTTGATGTTGCTGATGATGATGATGATGATGATGATGATGATGATGATGATGAGTATGCTGATGATGATGATGATGATGATGATGATGATGATGATGATGATGATGACAGGAGCGGGCAGTACAACTGCTGCACGGCTCGCGCGGTGGAGGCGGAAGCTAGATGGCCATATATGTCCGGACAACGTTTTCCAGATATTGGCAAGCATTCGACTGATGAAGGTCTTTTGCCTGAGACATCATGCCATAAACACATCATCATCGTCAGCATCATCAGCATCATCATCTCCTTCATCTTAATATTCAACTTCATCATGATCATCATCATGATCATCACGATCATCATCATGATCATCATCATGATCATCACGATCATCATCATCATCATCATCATCATCATCATCATCATCATCATCATCATCATCATCATCATCATCATCATCGTCATCATCATCATCATCAGCATCATTCTCATCATCATCAGCATCATCAGCAGCACCATCATCACCACAACCACCACACACACACACACACACAGACACGCACCATGAGCGAAGAGGGCGACAGGGCGACGCCCGCACTGTGCTCCTCGTTTGGGAGCTGTGAAGCAAGCCAGCGACGCGCCAGCCTCAACAGACCTGGAGCCCACTGCTCGCCGGGGAGCCAGGAAACAGGAGGCCACTGCTCTGGGAGGTCCTTGCCCCGCTCGTGGAGGCAAGGCTTAGGTCGGGCGTCCTCCGACAGGCGGACTTTGGAGGAGAAATAAAAAATTGCCCAAACATACCCAAAATATGCCCCAAAGATACTCCAAAAATCGTCCCCTGACTATTCTTTTTTACTGTTCTTGAACATTCCTCCTGCAGAGGGACACGCCCGACTTGAGACCACTGCTCTGGGAGCTCCTTGCCCCGCTCGTGGAGGCAAGGAGCCGCCTGCACACGGCCGGCGATTGGAGGCCTGGAAATTGGCACCAACACCAACACAGGGGGTGCCTCCACAGGGGGAAGATGATCCTAGATTTCGGTGTTGGTGGTAATATTTCGGCTACCTTGGAAGCCAAAATATTACCACCATCACCGAGACCGGGATCTTCATCCCTCGGTGGAGGCACGCCGCCGATATTGGCGTTGGTGCCAATCTCGAGGCCTGCGAGGCGACATCATCTGCCCCCGCCTTGGCCAGCACGGGCCCTCCTCTCGAGGGCCTCGGCCCTCTTGTGGGGAGGAAAAGGTTTACCGACGCCTCTTTTTTGGGAGGGCGGGCCCTCCCCGAGGGAGCCGCGGGAGGAAGGCTTCGGGTTCGAGGTTCGAGGTTCTCGAAAGAGAGGTCGAGGTTCGAGAAAGGGTTCGGGTTCGGGTTCGAGGTCGAAGGTTCTCGAAAGAGAGAGGAAGGTTTCGGGTTCGAGTTTCGGTTTCGGGTTCGAGGTTCGGGTTCGAGGTTCGAGGTTCGAGGGTTTCGGGTTCGAGGTTCGAGAAAGCGGGGAGGCGAGAGGACCATGGGGAACAGGGGATCATGCAGCGCCACTGCGGCGACGTCTCGTCGCCGGTGCGACAAAAAATAGAAGTCTGCGAAAGGGACTGCGGTTGCACGGTCGCCGTTGTTCTTCTGTCACTCGACACGTGCTTCCAATTCACATGCAGTCATTTGTGGAGGCCGAAAGGAGGAGGAGGAGGAGGAGGAGGAGAAGGAGGAGGAGCGGAGGAAGGAGGCTCAGGAGGGATGGAATCGAGAGAGGATGCGCACGGATGAGCGTCCCTGTGATACCGGACCAGAGAGTAGCTGGCTTCACCAAGCGCAAGTGGACGCAGCTCTCAAGACAAGCGATCAGATCTCCTGGTTGTCCACCGCAGGGTCGTCCTTCTTCTCGGGGGGTCCACGCTGCAGCTCCACCTCGATCTGGGTGAGGGTGAACATGGGCGCGAAGAGGCCGCACATCAGGTCAGTGAGGAGGTCGCCATTCTTGATGAGTCGAGTCACGCGCACGTGGTTGCGGAGCAGGCCCACGAATGTGCCGAAGCCGATGTAGAGCGCGCAACCGATGAGCGCCCATTGGTACATGGCCGCGCTGCAGATGGTGATGATGATGCTGGCGTAGTACAGCAAGGAGAAGAAGGCACACCAGATTACAAAGGTGGGCCCTTTGCCAATGCCACTGAAAGGCCACTTGCCTACCTCGACCACAGTTTGGGCCATCTGGATGCCAGGAACGGCCGTGTGCTTCAAATGATTCACAATGTACTCCATGTTGAAAATGAAGGTCGTGAAAGCCTTTCGGTTGGGGTCGAGCGCTCCGTTCTCCTCCCGGACAAGAATGACAAGCGACTGCGTGGCCCAGAACATGACAAACGTGTAGGGCAGGCCGGTGATAATTGACGCAGCCTGCAGGGCTTTCAGCGAGGCGTCTGCGCTCGGATGGTTGATGCCCGAATACAGCAGGGCGATAGCGGTGGCCCCTTCTGTGAAGGACCAGAAGACGCGCTGGAACATAGGCGGATCTGGGTGGCCGTTGGAGGCCAGCATGTCCACCACGAAAGAGCCAGAGTCCGACGAGGTGACGAAGTAGAACGTCAAGATGATGAGCGTGAGCGCGCACAGCATGTCGGAGTAGCCCCGCGGGGCGTAGCTGGATATCTGGTCAAAGAGGATATCCGCCGTGTCCCTGTTGTACAAGCACACGGTGCCGTCTTGCAGGGGGACGAAGCAGTCCTGCTGGTCGGCGACTGGGAACTGGTTGTAATTATCGGCGGCGAGTGCTTCTATCTCGCTCAAGTAGTTGGCACACTCAGTGCCAGAGATATTCGCGTACGTCGTATCAACAAAAGTGGGATCAGCTGCACCGCCGCAAGGAACATTTACCCAGTTTGTGGTCTTGACACACTTCTTACCGTTCCCGTCGTTGGAAGGGTCCACGTAACTGGTGAACTTCGCCCTCTTGCATCTGCCGTAGCCGCCGTGGTACGCGTCGTCAAGCACGCACGCGGGGGTCCAACCCAGGGTCAAGTTCTTCTTCGTGTCCAGATCGTACTGCGCAGCCCAGTCCCCATTGCCAGCGTAGGCTTGAGTGCAGAGGCCGCTGGTGTCTGCCATGCGCTGCATGCGGATGCCCTCGGTCCCCCACACGCAGAACCAGACAATGCTGTAAAGGGTGGGCACGATGAGTGTGGACAGAATGAACACTCGGAGGGTCCTGCCTTTGGAGATCCTCGCAATGAACGTGCCGACGAAAGGGCCCCAGGAGATCCACCAGCCCCAATAAAAGATGGTCCAGTCGATGATCCACGTGGCACCGCCACCTGTGTCAACCCCGCCGAGCCCCATGTCTTTTCCGCCGAGACGCTCCCAAGCGTCGCAGTGGAAGCCAATCTTGACGATGTACCATAAGTAGTATCCGGTAACCTGGACAATGTTGTCCAGGATGAGGTAAGTCTCGCCGTTCAACGCTACGACAAGCATCAAAAAGGTGCCCATCGCGAAGACACACTGTGAGAGAAACTTGATGCCACGGCCGATGCCCAGCACCACCGACACGGTTGACAAGCTGGTAATGATGAGTATGGCCAAAATCTGGGTCTCCGTGTTTCGCTGGACGCCAAAAGACTCCTCTCCATCCTTGCAAGCGAATCCTTGGCCATTGCACCCAGGACGGGCATATTTGGGTTCGTCCGGAATGGCGTAGTTCACGCCACGGAATGACCCCCAGCTGAGTCGCTGAAGCCCAGCGTTGATAGACATGGCCCCCAGGCCGAGGGAAGTGCAGACACCCGCGATAGAGGTTACGATAGAGAGAGCATCCACGCAGTCACCCATCCAGCCGTAAACGTGGTCACCGATGAGAGGCACGAACGCATAACGCACGGTCATGGGGTATCCACGCCGGTAAGTCATGATGGCCAGCACGGCACCCATTACCACGTAGGGAATCCAGCCGTGCAAGCCCCAGTGGAAGACACTCACCATCAGCGCATGCGTCGCATCCTCGTCCAGAGTGCCGTAGCCCTTTGCCCCAGAGATGAACCGCGGCGATCCCCAACCCTTGTAGTGCCACATTGGCTCCGCCACCGCGTAGTAGAACAGGCCTGTTGCGACACCGCAGCAGAACAGCATCGAGAACCAAGTAGCGGTGCTAAACTCTGGCTCGTCCTCGTCCTTTCCCAGCTTCAGGTTGCCGTGCGCGTACATAGCCCAGAGGAGGACAACAACCCAGATGTCTTGAGAGATGATGTAAATCCAAGTCCACACCTCTGGGATCCATCCCCAGGCGACTTCGTCCATGGCGTACTTCATGTAGTCTGGTTCGACGCAGCAGGCGATTACGAAGCCCCACAAGAAGATGCAGGAGGTGAGGAAGACGACTGGATTCATGACGATGAACCCTTTGATTTCAAGATGCCGGCACTGCTTCATGTGAGCTTGCTCCGATTCCGACGCCTCCTCATACGAGCAGACCGACGCTAACGAGGCCATCTCGGAACGTGCTTTTGCGCCTGCGTCGCAGGAAGCACTGCCGTAATTTCAAGGCCTTGGCCGCAGATTGCCTTGAGCCAAAATGGCTACGGATGTATATCTGAACAACTTTGTCGCATTTTGTTGGGATTGGTGGCGGATAGGAGGTTGGGATGCGAAGGCCGCAGTGATCACCAATCTAGGTGAGCGGCACGGTCGGCGACGTCGTAGAACGCATAACACGTCGGAGTTAGGCCATCGAAGCGTATCCGCCAGCATCGGATAAACATGGTTAACGGCGAATATACGACTGTGTAACAGTGGAGGCGGCCAGTGTGGAACTGCGGCCGTTCTGGGTTGCGGATTGTCGGAAGCGGGTGGCTACTCTGGCATAGCACCCGATGATGTAGGGGTGGACGAGGAAGGCGAGGGGCACTCTGCAAAGCTTCGGCTGGAGTGGGAGGAGGCAGGAGGGAGGATGGAGGGAGGCGGAAACAAAGGAAGCAGGCAGAAGGGGGAGGAGAAAGAGGGGAGGGAGGGAGCGAGCAGCGAAGAGCGAGGAGGGCAGGGTGGAGGTGAGTGAGGAGAAGCGAGGGGAAAAAGGAGGGGGGAGGGACAAGCTAGGTGCGCCCGCGTCATATCTGACGTCCTACCCCTCCCTCCCGTCCTTCATCATTGCGCTGATGTTGCCTCTATCCGCGCACGCATGCCATAGCGAACCTGGAACTCCCAGAAAGACCCCATCGTGTTATGCGTCATAGGAAATAGGGGATGCGTACATAGAAGGAGTGGGAGGAGGGGGAGGAGGAAAAGGAGGAGGAGGAGGAGGGGGAGGAGAAAGAGGATGAGAATTAGGAGGAGGAGGTGGCGCATAAGCAGGAGGATGAGCAGGAGGAAAACAGGGAGATGAGGAAGGAGGACAAGGAGGAGGAGAACCAGGACGAACAGCAGTTGCAGGAGCTGGAGTGACAAGAGCGGGAGGAGCAGGAGGACCAGGGGCAGGCGGAGGAGGAGAAATTAGGAAGGCGACAGCGCTGAAAAAAGGACTCGGATCTCGAAGGGTGACCCGCGCTGGGCGAGAGCGCCATTCTGAACGACGGGAGCGAAGCACCGCTCCGAAAACGAAGACCACGTTGCGCTGGCTCCGAAAACAATCGTTAAGAAGCCGTGAGGCATACCAGCTGTTGCAACGCTGTTGAACCCTTACATATATATATATATATATATATAAATATGCATTGCATGTGAGCATGTGTAACTTGTCCACGGAACACGACGCCACTTATCCCCAGTGAAGCACGCACCATTGCAACTACAGACACATCGAACACTGTAAGAATACCAACCTGCGACGGGAAAACAAAACACGCAGACACCCGACATGAGACAAGGAAGCACTATGCGCGCCGCGCGGCCAAAAACATGACGGCACAAGAAGAGGGGGAAGGACGACGACGTCGAGGACGACAAGGGGAAGACGAGGAGGACCACGACGCGCTGGGTGTACATGCCTTCCTGGCCCAGTCTGGAGGGCATACACCTGGGTCCAGGATGGGCCCCAGCCAGGGTCCGCGTCGGCGCATGCATGGCGCACCCCGCGCGTCCTGGCCGTGCAAGTGTCCAGGAAGCGCTGGGACTGCGAGTAGGCGCGGATCGTGTTGATGCCGTTGAGCGTCTCGGAGAACTGCGCGAAGATCGGGGAGCGGCTGACGGACTCCAGCCGCTGGAGGTCGCGGGCCAGCGGCCGGAACCGGCGCTGGACATCCCAGTAGCAGACAGCCAGCGGTACCGCGATCACGATGAACAACGGCATACCACACGCGATCGTGATGAGCAGCCCCAGTATATCGAACAGGAACTGGAGAGCGATGGGCAGGCAGCGCTGGAGTCCTGTCGGAGCAGCGTCCTCCCCGTCCTCACCTCATCCTCTCCTGCAGTGCTCCCCCTCCCCTCCTTCATTCCTCCCCGGCAGCAGGATTTCTGTTGTAACGGTTGCCGTCGAGGTGTTGGGTAAGGGGACATGTCCCATGCTTGCAAAGCAGCCAAGCGACCGATATCATCATGATGGCCCAAAGATCGGCTCCAAGCGAGCTGAGGTGGCCCATGATGGTCCCCAAGAAGCCCCCAAGATGGCACAAATAAAGCTTCAAAGACACCCCGAAGAGACCAACACGGTATACAAAGCACAACGTGTTTACAGGCGTCCGCATCCTCGGCCTATTCGGTCTACATGTCCTCCAAGACGCCGCAAGACGGCTCAAAGGGCCTTCGAAGAGACCTCCCTGGCGCCCTTTGGAGAGCGTCCTGGATCTCCCGAATAGCCCTGGTACCCCAGCTGGCCTGCAAGATACAACTGAAAGAGACTCACAGACTGCCCGAAAGGCCCACAAGAGGCCTCCAAGAAAGACCCAAGAACGTCCTTGAAGCCCTCAAGACACATTGGCCAGCCCAAGGGTGCTATCAAGAAGGCCCAAGAAGCCCCCCAGAGGCTCCCCTGAGGACCACAAGAGGGCCAAAGAGACACCAAAATTGCACCACACAAGCCCCCAGTATAGCCCAAAACAAAACGCCCCCAAGTGTCTTCACGTCCTGGCGTGCATACTTGCGAGTGATTGGGCCTGCGCGTGTCGACGGCATAACCTCGAGTGAGATTTCACCGGGAGACTCGCGTGCTGATTGTCCCCAGAGGGTCACCGTGACTCCTGTTCTGCGCTCTGCGGGCTCAACATCACGCCACAGAAGCTCTACACTGATCTCCACAGAGCCAAGGTGAGTGCCGAACGTTCGCAGAGCCGAAGCGAGAAGCTCGATCTTGAAAACTATTCGACCTTTGCCTGTGCAAGAGCGCGTTTCTTTGTTTTCGGCGATGACGGGCGTGATGGGGCGGGGGGGGGGGCGGGGGATGGTATGACGTAACGCCCCCCCCCCCACTCGCAGTGTGGCTCCAGCACCACAGCCGCGCCCGCGACGACGACGACGACGACGACGACGACGACGACGAACCTGAGGAAGGCCGCACACTGCGGGCGCACTCTCCACGGAGGACGCGGGACGCAGGACGCGCGAGAGGCCGCCGGCCAGCTGGCCGGCCGGCCCCTCGAGAGCGAATCGGATCTAAGACGGGCCGTCCTTCGTCAGAGCAGCTGTTGGAGCTTCTGAGGGCCAGAGCCATGAGCTGCGAGTGGGCCACAGCTGGATCTTGAGAGGGTGCCGCACTCCATCCGCTGGGCTGCTGGGAAGTCTGATGTTCAGGATCACAGCTTGCGAGGAAGTGAAGACGAGCCCCGTCATCTAGTGTAACCGTTGGACACGCTGATGCCCCTGGCAATGATCGTAATTACATCGAGCGAGACACCTCGACGTTTTCATATAATGTATGATGACAGTGATACGCGGATCACATGGAGGTAATGATATTGTTATGTGCATGTATGGTAATGGTATTATTTGATTCTAGTAGTCAACATTCGTCCTGGTAGTATTGTTCGTATGATCACTATTACTCGTATGCTTGATGGTACGACTGGTTTGGGAGAGACTGAGGAGGTGTGTAAGAGTGCGAAGATGCTGATGTGTGTGTGCGCGTGTTAAAATATGTATGTCTGTGTGTGTGCGCGTATGTGCGCGTGCGTGTGTGTGCGCGTGTGTGTAGACATGTTGATGTAGATGTTTATGTAAATGCAGATAGCTGCATGTATGTGTGTATGTGTGCATGTCCATGTGTATGCAATGTGTATGTCAAGGTATACGTATATGTATATGTGTATGTATATGTATATGTGCATATATGTAAAAGGATACGTAGATCTGAATGTACATATGTAGAGGTATGTGTGAATGTGAGGGATTACGCAAATATGTATGAAGCGTATATGTATGTGTACAGATATGTGCATATGCATATATGTCTGGACACGTGTCGGAAAATATGCATGCATATGTACATGTATGTGTGTGCGTATGTACACGTATATGTATTATTCTACGTGTGTGAATGTGAGTGTGCAAATTTGAATGTATGCTAATGTGTAGATGTGCCTGAGTATGTATACACTTACGTGTATGTATGTGTAGATGTACATGTGCATGTATGTATGCATATGTGTGTGCATGTGTATGTGCATGTGTACATGTATATGGATGTGCCTGTGTTAATGTAAATGTGTATGTAAATGTAAGTACATATATATATATATAGATTGCATATACATGGTTATGGTTGTGTGTATGCATATGTGTATGTGTGTGCATATGTGAATGTATGTGTACATGTATGTGTTTGTGTGTATGTGTATGTGTATAGGTGTGGTTATATGTATGCGTATGTATGTATGTATGCAAACGGATGTGTACATGTATATGGATATGCCTATGTGTCTGCATTGGTCTTTAGATGTATGTGCGAATGTAGATGTATATGTGTATGTACGTGTAGCAGTAGATGTATATACATACATATATACATGTATGTATGTCTGCCTGTCTGCATGCGTGTCTCTGTGCGTGTCTGTGTATGTGGGAGGGTGGATGGGTTGGTGGCTGGATGTGGATGTGGATGTGTGGGGGTGTGTGGGTGTGTGGGTGTGGGGGGCAGTGTTTCTGTGCGTGTGTGTGTCTGTGCGTGCGTCCGTGCGCGCGTGCGTGCGTGCTTGTGCGAATGTGCGTGTGTGCGTGTGTGTGCGTGTGCGTGTGTGTGATGTGCGTGTGCGCCTGTGTCTGGGTCTGTGTGTGTCTGGGTCTGTGTCTGTGTCTGTTTCTGTGTCTGTCTGTGTGTCCGTGTCCGTGTCCGTGTCCGTGTCCGTGTCCGTGTCCGTGTCCGTGTCCGTGTCCGTGTCTGTATATGTGTCTGTGTCTGTGTTTTTGTATATGTGTCTGTCTGTGCTTTTGTCTGTGTCTGTGGCTGTGTCTGTGTCTGCGTCTGCGTCTGCGTCTACGTCTGCGTCTGCGCCGGCGTCTGCGGCTGCATCTGCGTCTGCGTGTGCGCGTGTGTCTGCGTCTGTGTGTGTCTGACTTTCTGTGTGTCTGTGTGTCGTCGTGTCTGTGTGCCTGCGCGTCTGTGTGTCCGTGTGCCTGTGCGTTTGTGTGTCTGTGTGTTTGTATATCCGTCTGTCTGTGTGTCTGTGTGTCTGTGTGTCGAGGCCGATGGGTCTCCCAGGGGGTAGGCCAGGACCACCACTCCCCCAGTCGTGGCTGCTCTGGGGAGGCCCGCCTGTGTCCAGGCTGTCCACGTCCTTACTGAAGCGGTTCAGCACGCGACCCACGGGCGTGGTGTCGAAGAAGCTCATGGGCGCGCGCAGCACGCTCCACAACAGCTTCTCGTGAACGGCCTCGAGGAGGGAGGGGCAGGGGGGAGGATGATGATGATGATGATGATGATGATGATGATGATGATGATGATGATGATGGTGATGATGGTGATGATGGTGATGATGATGATGATGATGATGATGATGATGATGATGCTGATGATGCTGATGATGATGATGATGATGATGATGATGATGATGATGATGATGATGATGATGATGATGATGATGATGATGATGATGATGATGATGACTAGGAGGAGGTGGAGGAGGTGGAGGAGGAGGAGGAGGAGGAAGAGGAGGAGGAGCAGGAGGAGTAGGAGGAGGAGGAGGAGGAGAGGATGAGGAGAGGAGGATAGTGAGGACAAGGAACGCGCGTGCGCCCGAGCCCACCCCCACCGCACAGGGCGGACGGGCGGCGCCCAGGCTTGGCCAGGGCCGCGGAGGACTCGGCGCCCGCGACCACCTCCGCCGCAGCCAGCGCCAACCAGCCGAACTTGCTCAACGAGGCACCTTCCGGCAGGCCCCAGCCCTGGCCTTACCAGCCTGGAACATGTCCCTATCCCTGTGTTGGGCATCGCCTCATCACGATGGCGATCTTGGGGATGTCCTCGGTTTCTGCGGGTGTCTCCCTAAGGTTGTCGCCCCCTTGTAGCGTGTCAATCTTAGGGATAGGGATAAGCTCGAGGCTGGTGATGGCCCCTGCCGAGACCCACTCGCGCTGCGCAGCGCCGGTTGGGCTTCGCCGCCGGGACGGGCGGCAGCACCTTGACGAAAGACGTCGTCAGGGTCAGGAGTGAAGACCGGCACAAGCCGCAGGAAGCGTGCGAGAGGGGGGGTTGCAGAGCGACCCCGCCTTCCCCAGGGCACCTTGGGCCAGAGCACGGGAAACGTGTGCGGGGAATTTACAGGGCCACCTCGGCTCCCCCAGAGCACCGTGCCAGACAATCAGAGTCAGACAAACTCGATTCTCCGGAGGGAGGCCACCGCCTCGTCCCCGACACTGCTTGCGTGCCGGACATCCAGGCCATCATCTCGAGCGACACCGCGATGAGAGAAGACATGCCGCAGGGCTTCTAGTCCATCATGAGCGTACTCCAATCCCGCCGAACAACACCGACATGCCAGCAACAGCAGGACATCAGTGGCTACGACGACAGGGCAGCGACCCCATGTGCCACTAGCTGCTGCGACCCTGCACGTCGCCCGTCCGTCGCCTCCCCCGCGCAGGACAGCCTCGCGATTGCCGCCTAGACTGCCGTCCCGCACCAGCCGACCGCCAGTGCGAGTCCCGCGTCACCAGAGGGGTGGCTTGCGACGCCGAGGGCGAGGAGGTGGCCGCCCCTGCCGCCCCTGCCGCGCTGCGGCCCGTCGCCGTCGTGCCCCCATTGGGCGCTCGCTCCATCCCAGAGAAGACCTGGGCGGTATCGCCCAAAAGGAAAAATACAAAAACGGATATCCCCCCTAGGGATCCCCATCGGCGCCCACCCCCCCCTAGCCCTTCGGGCTATGTCGCCGAGAACCCCTCCCCCGCCGCCTCGGCCAGAGCCGCCGCGAAATCCGTTGCTCCAGGTCGCGGCCGACTGGAACATCCGCGTCGGCAACTTCATCGGAGGCCGCGCGGACACGGCGGCCATATCGTGGACACATTCTTCCTCTTCGGTCAGATCAACACTGCGCACATCAACGAGGGGCACATCCTGGTCACATACGCCTCCCGCGCTGCGGCCGGGAGCACCGCTTCACAAATGAGCTGCAGCTCGCTATGGGGCGCGTCACGACGTGGGTCAGGCCCATCATCAACGTGGAGTGCTAGTGCCACCAGGCTGGGAGGGACATGGAGGAGGCGAGGAGAAGGAGGGCGAGGTGGAGGACATCAAGTGCGAGGATACCCCTACCGGTCATTCATGACACCGAAGAGCTGCGTGGCAATCCGCAGGAGGGCGACGAGAAGCCTCAATCTCGGCATGCCCGCAGGCGCGCCAGAAAGCGTGCTGCCGCAGCCGCCGCGTCCGCGGTGACCTAAGACATTCTCCAGCAGATGCCCAAGATGGCCTCCAAGACGGCCCTAAAGCACCCCAAGAGCACCCCAAGTCGGCCCAGGGAGGCCCCCAAGACGGCTTCCAAGGGCGTCAGACTAGCCAGGAATGCCCTACGCAAGACGGCCAAATAGGCCCCCGAGAAGCCCCAAAAGGTCCCCAAGAGGTCCAAGGAGGCCCCCAAGATGCCTCCAAGAGACTCCCAGGAAGCTCCCAGGGGGCCCCAAGAGTGCCCGCAGAGACTCCCAAGATGCCCCTCCTCCTCCTCATCCTCGTCCACACACAAACACACACACACACACACACACACACACGCACGCACGCACGCACGCACGCACGCACACACACACACACACACACACACACACACACACGCCAGGATATATATAGAGAGAGAGAGGGGAGAGACAGAGAGAGAAAACTGAGACAGAGACTTGAGACAGAGCATTGAGACAGAGAATTGAGACAGAGACAGAGACAGATGAAAGGAAGAGAGAGAAGGAATAAGGAGGGGCGAAGGGAAGTTCGGAAGGCGGAGGGGGGAGGGGCGGAGGGGAAGAAGCGAGGAGGTAGGAGGGTAAGAGTGGGAAGGGACAAGGAGGGGAGCCAGAGGAGGGGGAGGCAGGGAGCAGGGAGCAGGGAGCAGGAAGCAGGGAGGGGGGCAGAATGGAGGAGGGAAGAAGAGAGATGATGATGAAGAAGAAGAGAGGAGGGAGGGCAGAGCAGGGAAAGAGATGGAGGAGGGAGCAGGGAGCAGGAAGCAGGTAGCAGTGAAGGGGCCCTGGAACACACAAATAAATACACACAAATAAAAGGATTCCCCCTATTTTTCAATATTTTCTGGGTTTTTGTCTCCCCCCCCATTTCCCATATTTTCCCATATATTCTGGGGAATCGACGATTAATTGTGTCTGTGTGTTTGTTCCCCTCCTGAAGCAGGGCAGCCTCGGGCGCGGCCTAGCCGACCCCTAGCAAACAATTCCCTTCCGTGACGTCAGCTCAGCCCTCGCCTTCCAAGCGTTCCTCTGGCCGCATACATGCGTCTTGGGGCGACGCGAGGGGTACGTCACGGAAAGAGATGGTCTGCCAGGGGTCGGTAAGGCGGCCCCAGACAGCCGGGGAAGGCGAGAGGAGGGAGCAAAAATCAGGAAGCAGCGAGGGGAAAGGGGAGGGAGGAGAGGGACGTCCTGACTGCCCGACCTTGCCGATGTCTCGTGGGGCCCAACCGACCCAACGTGTCCGCCCCGATTCTCTTCGTCGTGCTGCTCGGGATACCGACCCGCCCCGAAAAATGGCACGGACCCCTCCGCCTGCTGACCCTCCCTCCCACAACACCTGGGCGTCGAGAAAAATGAAAAAGCAGCGCCCGCTGCGGCCCTCAGGGCCCTCACGGATCGATGCGGCCCGAGGCCTGCCTCGCAGAGACGGGGCCAAGCCGCTCCAGCCAAGTGCTTGTCGCGACGCCGTTGTCTGCTCACGGTGTGCCATGTCTGCGAAGGCGGTCGGCGTCTGACGCCTTGCTGCTTTTCAAGATCAGGCTCGCAATGAAGAAGGTGCGCGCCACGGTGCCAATGCAGAGAAGCACGCCGAATGTGATGTAGACCGCCATGTGGTAGTCTGGCTTCATATCGCCATCTTTAGCCGCGACATCTGCCCAGTAACTCAGCCACCACTCCATGAGGTTCTTCGTCGCCTGGGAGGCCGAGAGGAGCCCAAGCATCGCTAAGAACATCCACCAGCCACCAGAGCAGTCTACGAAGAAGAACTTCCACACTTTCAGTGGCACACTGCCCTCGCTCTTCCCCTCCTTGGTGGTCAAGGACCCCGCAGACACCTTCTTGTCGATGGCTATCATACCAGCCGCAGTGAGGGAATGAGCCTTTCTAAGCGCGTACGCGTCCTTGCTCTGAGGGGTGCCTGATTGGAGGGGGCTGGGGTGTCTGAGCTGGTTAGGATCCCCCAGAAGATCGGTCAAGAGGGGGGCCAAGACCAAATCCGCTCAGAGTCGGTCCCCGGACCCCTCCAAGAGTCCACCTCGACTTTTCACCCCGAAGCCTTTCTGAACAGTCCCGGGGCCCCAAGACGGCCCCCGGAGGCCGAAGAGGGCGAAGAACCTGCCCGAGCCCAGAGCCTCGAGCCTGGCCCGCGCTTCCAGGTGACAGGAACTGGTGCTGGGCCTCCCCAGACCCGCAGCCGACTCCGAGTGCCTGGCGCGAGCGACTTTGAGCTGGACGCTCGCGCGATCGCCGTCCTGCTCGTGCCCTTGGCGGGCGACGCCGTGGGCGTCCTGGCGCCAGCGCCGGCGCTCGGGGCCGAGGCCCGAGGCGACTGCTTCGCCGCAGGCCCTGGGGCATCCTGCGCCAGCTGCTGGCTGCTGAGCGTGCCGTTGAGGGCTCCGCCTCGGTGGCTCTCGGAAGCGACAAGGCCGTTTTTATTGTCCCGTCTTCGTTCGTCGTTGTTTCCAGGTTCCCGCGCCGCTCTCTTGGTTCTGCTTCCGTCGCCGCTCTTGCTTTCCAGTTCCGGCTGCAGCTTAAATCCCATCCCAGGGCCATTTTTCCGTTGCGGCGAACCGCTGTTTTACCGTTTCCGCTTTCAAGACCAAGACTCTGGGACACGGGAAAGAAGCCGCCTGCCGTTTCCAATAACCACTGGGGGTTCCGCCTTGAATCGCCCGCAGCTCTTCATAGGTGCCCTGCTCGGCCACGGTGCCATCGCGGAGCACCCAGATGACGTCCGCCTGGGGCAGGAAGTGCTGCTGGTTGGTCGCTAGGATCACCACCGCCCCCAGGCAAGTGAGGCGCTTGATGCATTCCTCGAAAAGGATCTGGCCGGTCTCGGCGTCCACGGCAGAAAGGACGTCGTCGAGGATGTACACCGCGGCCTGGCTGTACACAGCACGGGCCAGGGCGATGCGGGCTTTCTGGCCGCCGCTGAGCGTAATGCCCTTCTCGCCGATCTCGGTGAAGTCCCCCCCTGGAAGCACCTCGATGTCAGGCTGGAGCGCGCACATTTCCAGCACCTCATCGTACCACGCCTCGTCGAGCGGGAGGTTAAAAAGAATGTTATCTCTCACCGTCGCGTTGAGGATCCAGGGCGACTGTGCACAGTAAGCAACGCTGCCCTGCAAGATCCGCCACCGTGCCTGCACGGAGTGAGCATGTTAGAGTGCTCGTCTGTTGTCTGGAATGTCTCTCTCGTTTTTCCAGGGCCCACCCACCCACCCCGACACGCGCGCACCCCTCGAAAAGCGTCCCCCCTGAATATGCTCTCCAGCGCTCTCTTCGGCCTCCAGACGGCCAAGCTGGCCTCCAAGACGGACTCCAAGAGAGCCAAGAGGACACCAAGAGGACCCCACGACGGCCCAAGACGACATCAGAGGTTCTCCAGACGGCTGCAAGACGGGCCAAAAGAGGGCTCCAGCCCTCCAGGAGAGCCCGAGGAGGCAAAAACCACTGATGCTCGAGTGTTTGAGGCTCTGGCCTGTTGGGGCTTCGGATCGCCCAAGACGGCCCAATAGCCCTCCAAGATAGCTCGAAGACGGCTCAACAGGCCCCCCGATAGGATCCCAAGTCGGCCCACGAGGACCTAAGATCGCCCAAGAGGCTCCCTGGAGGGCCCCGAGACGGCCCTAAAGCGCTCCAAGAGGGCACCGAGACGGCCCAGAGAGGCCCCCAAGACGGCTTCCGAAGGCGCAAGACAAGCCAAGAACCCCCCGAGACCGCCCAAGAATCCCCAAGAGGCTTTCAAGAGGCCCCAAGCCAAGAGGCCCCAAAGAAGCCCCCAGGAGGCTTCCGGGAGGCCCCAAGAGACTCCTAAAGAGGCTCTTTCCTCCTTGTGTTCACGTTTTCTTCTTCCTCCTCCTCCTCCTCCTCCTCCTCCTCCTCCTCCTCCTCCTCCTCCTCATCATCATCATCATCATCATCATCATCATCATCATCATCATCATCATCATCATCATCATCATCCTCCTCATCATCGTCATCATCATCATCACCATCCTCCTCATAAAAATCATCATCATCACCACCACCACCACCCATCATCAGCATCATCATCATCACTCACCATCATCATCAGCATTCACCATCATCGTCGTCATCACCAATGTTTGAATGTTTCGTACGATTAGTACTACATCGTTGCTACTGTTAGTAGTGTGATAAGTTTTGATGATGTAAGTATTAGTAGTAGATATTAGGAATAGTACTAGCACTACATTCATCTGCGGTACTAATCATCGTAGTAGTAGTAGTAGTAGTAGTAGTAGTAGTAGTAGTAGTAGTAGTAGTAGTAGTAGTAGTAGTGGTAGTAGTAGTAGTAGTAGTAGTAGTAGTAGTAGCAGTAGTAGTAGTAGTAGTAGTGGTAGTAGTAGTAGTCGTAGTAGTAGTCGTAGTAGTAGTAATCACAGTAATGAGAATAATGCTCATGGTAATAACAGTGATAAGGATACTATGAGTGATAATGATTCTAGTAGTAGTAATAACAATAATGTTAGTAGTCGTAGTAGTAGTAGCAGCAGTAGTAGTAGTAGTAATAGTCTGTAGTAGTAGTCAGTAGTAGTATCAGTAGTAGTCGTAGTAGTACTAGTAGTAGTAATAGTAGTCGTAGTCGTAGTCGTAGTCGTAGTCGTAGTCGTAGTCGAAGTAGTAGTATTAGTAGTAGTAGTAGTAGTAGCAGTAGTAGTAGTAGGAGTACTAGTAGTAGTAGTAGTAGTAGTAGCAGTAGTAGTAGTGGTGGTAATAGTGGTAGTAGTAGTGTTAGTAGTAGTAGTAGTAGTAGTAGTAGTAGTAGTAGTAGTAGTAGTAGTATAGTGGTAGTTGTAGTAGTAGTAGTAGTAGCTTTAGTAGTGGTAGTAGTAGTAGTATAGTAGTAGTAGTAGTAGTAGTAGTAGTAGTAGCGTAGTAGTAGTAGTAGTAGTAGTAGTAGTAGTAGTAGTAGTAGTAGTAGTAGTAGTAGTAGTAGTAGTAGTAGTAGTAGTAGTAGTAGTAGTAGTAGTAGTAGTAGTAGTAGTAGTAGTAGTAGTGGTAGTAGTAGTAGTAGTAGTAGTAGCGGTAGTAGTGGTAGTAGTAGCAATAGTAATAGTGGTGGTAGTAGTAGTAGTAGTAGTAGCAGTAGTAGTCGTAGTGGTGGTAGTAGTAGTAGTAGTAGCAGCAGTAATAGGAGTCGTACTAGAAGTGGCACTAGTAATACTAGTAGTACTAGTACTAATACTAGTCGAATTCGTAGTATAGATCATATTGGTCATGTGATTAACTATTACTATCTGTATGATGCTTACTTTTAATTCGCAGCTTCACGTTTGATAATTCCCCACTCAAAGCTTGCCTCTGTAGGGGTCCTAGCGGATTCACATGGTTCGGTGAGGTGCATCGCCGATCTCGATGGCCAGCCCGGGTGCACGGGTGCCCGGGTACCCAGGTGCCCGGGTGCCCGGGGGTAACCGGGTGCCCGGGGGTGCCCGGAGGTGCCCGGGGGTCGCCGGGAGGTGCCCAGGGGTGCCCGGAGGTGCCTGGGGGGGCCTGGAGGTGCCGGGGGTGTCGGCTTGCCCGGGTGCCTGGGTGTATAGCCAAATAGCCCAATAGCCCAATAGCCCATATAGCCCTACAGCCATATAGCCCTATAGCCTTATAGCCCGAGCCCTATAGTACGAAGGGATCTCATGTAAGATCAAAACAGACTCTGATTGGGTTTTTTCTCCGGTATCATATTACATGTGCATTGATATATTCATTTGTCGTCCTCAGTTTCCTCCTCCTCCTCTTCCTCCTCCTCCGCCCCCAGACATCCGGCTGCTCCGATTTTTTCGATGCGTGGGCACTGGAGGTCCGGACCACTTCCCCGGGACCGGTTTTTTGTCCCGAATCGTTTTTTGACGCTCCCGAGGCCCGGCGAGGGCCCCCGGAGGCTGAAAACTGCCAAAATCCGCCTGCTCCAACTTTTGTGGAGCGTCGGATCTCAGGGCCTTCCCCACCATCCTTGCCTCTGTAGGGGTCCTAGCGGATATGCTTAGGTGAGGTGTGGCGCCGACTTCGGCGGCACGCCCGGGTGCCCGGGCGCCCGGGTGCCCGGCCCAGGCGGGTGCCTGGGTGCCTGGATGACCGGGTGCCCGGAACCCGGGTGCCCGGGTGCCCGGCCTGGGTGGGTGCCTGGGTGCCCAGGTGACCGGATGCCCGGGTGCCCGGGTGCCCGGGTGCCCGGGTGCCTGGGTGCCCGGCCCGGGTGGGTGCCCGGGTGCCCGGGTGCCTGGGTGCCTGGGCGCCCGGGTGACCGGGTGCCCAGGTGCCCGGGTGCCCGGGTGCCTGGGTGCCCGAAGTGGCCCGGGTGCCTGGTTGTGCCTGGAGGTGCCTGGGCGCCCAGGTGCCCCGGGTGGCCTCCATCGGTGCGCGGATGCCCGGATGCCCGGGTGCCCCGTGGCCCGGGTGCCTGGGTACCTGGAGGTGCCCGGGCGCCCGGGTGCCCCAGGTGGCCTCCATGGGTGCCCGGGTGCAGGGGTGCCCAGGTGCCCGGGTGCCCGGGTGCCTGAAAGTGCCTGGAGGTGCCCGGGCGCCCGGGTGCCCCGGGTGGCCTCCATATGGGTGCCCGGATGCCCGGGTGCCCGGGTGCCCCGTAGCCCTAGTCCTACAGCCCTACCGCTCTATAGCCTGATAGCCCTATAGCACTACAACCCTAAAGCCCTACAGCCCTATGGCCCTCGTAGCCCTCGTAGCCCTATAGCCATATAGCCTATACCACTATAGTCCTATAGCCCTATAGCCCTGTAGCCTTCTAGCCTTACAGCCTTACAGCCCTATAGCCCTGTAGCCTTACAGCCCTATAGCCTTATAGCCCTATCATAGTGAGGGGGCCCAACGGTCATTCACTGTCCCTGGGTGCGTGGCTGTAATGGGACTCCGCGGTGCGAATTCGTATTGTTGTTGTTGTTGTTGTTGTTGTTGTTGTTGTTGTTGTTGTTGTTGTTGTTTTGGTTGTTGTTGTTGTTGCTGTTGTTGGTGTTGTTGTTGTTGTTGGTGTTGTTGTTGTTGTTGGTGTTGTTGTTGTTGTTGTTGTTGTTGTTGTTGTTGTTGTTGTTGTTGTTGTTGTTGTTGTTGTTGTTGTTGTTGTTGTTGTTGTTGTTTGTTGTTGCTGTTTGTTGTCGTCGTCCCACCCGCAACCCGCCCCGCAACCCGCCCCGCGACCCACCCCGCGACCCACCCGCGACCCACCCGCGACCCACCCGCGACCCACCCCGCGACCCACCCCGCGACCCACCCCGCGACCCACCCCGCGACCCACCCCGCGACCCACCCCGCGACCCACCCGACGACCCACCCGCGACCCACCCGCGACCCACCCGCGACCCACCCCGCGACCCACCCGCGACCCACCTTCGACCCAAACCACGTTCAAGGTACAAACCACCATTTTCGGCGCCTGCGGCGGGCTTTTTTGCATTCCTTCCAGGTGGAGAGCCCGCAACCCACCCCGCGACCAACTCGCGACCAACCCGCGACCCAAACCACGTTCAGGGTACAAACCACATTTTTCGGCGCCTGCGGCGGGCATCTTTTGCATTCGCTTCAGGTGGAGAGCCAGCGGCCCACCCGCGACCACGTTCAGGGAACACACATTTTTGGTTCGGCGCCTGCGGCGGGCATCTTTTGCATTCGTTCCCGGTGGAGAACCCGCGGCCTGCCCGCGACCCAAACCACGTTCAGTGTACAAACCAATGTTTTCCCCACATGTTTCGTGGGGTTCTGGTTTTCTTCCCTGCCGCGCCGCACCCGCGTCTCACACCTCCCCCCTCCCCTTCTCCTCCTCGCACAGCACAGCACAGCACAGCACGGCACGGCACAGCACAGCTCACCGCACAGCAGCACAGCACAGCACAGCACAGCACAGCATAGCACACAGGGCATTCCTTCGACGCCACAGGGGGTGGGGGTGCGCAGAGGGTGGTCCCTCAGCGCGGCCTCTATCCGTGACACGCTCGCAGGGCGTGGCAGGCGTGGCACTTTCTCGACACCACAGGGGGTGCGCAGAGGGTGGTCCCTCAGCGCGGCCTCTATCCGTGACACGCTCGCAGATCGTGGCAGGAGTGGCACTTTCTCGACACCACAGGGGGTGCGCAGAGGGTGGTCCCTC